GAATATAGATACAAAAATCCTCAATAAAATTCTGGCAAATCAGATACAAAAACATATCAAAAAGATCGGGCACCACGATCAAGTGGGATTCACCCCCCTGGATGCAAGGCTGGTTCAACATACGGAAATCAAAAAATGTAATTCATCACATCAATAGACTTAAAGATAAGAACCACATGATCACCTCGATAGACGCAGAAAAAGCATTTGACAAAATACAGCAAACCTTTATGTTCAAAACACTAGAAAAACTAAGGATAACAGGAACTTACCTCAACATTGTAAAAGCTATCTACGCTAAGCCTCAGGCCAGCATCATCCTAAATGGAGAAAAATCGAAGACATTCCCTCTAAAATCTGAAACAAGAAAGGGATGCCCTCTCTCACCACTTCTATTCAACATAGTTTTTGAAGCACTGGCCAGAGTAATTAGACAGATGAAAGAAATTAAATGAATAACTATAGGAAAAGAAGAACTTAAACTAGCGCTATTTGCTGATGATATGATTCTATACTTAGAAGACCCAAAAGGCTCTACCAAGAAACTTCTAGAACTAGTAAATGAATTCAGCAAAGTGGCAGGATATAAAATCAATATCAGTGACAAATTCTCTGAAAGGGAAATGAGGAAAAACCACCCCATTCACAATATCCTCAAAAAAAAAAATACTTGGGAATCAACTTAACAAAAGAGGTGAAAGATCTATACAATGAAAACTATAGAACCCTAAAGAGAGAAATAGAAGAAGACTTTATAAGATGGAAAGATCTACCTTGCTCATGGATAGGCAGAATTATATTATTTAAATGGCCATATTACCAAAAGCACTTTACAGATTCAATGTGATTCCAATCAAAATCCCAATGGCATTCCTCACAGAAATAGAAAAAGCAACTATGAAATTCATCTGGAAAGATAAGAGGCCCAGAATAGCTAAAGCAATTCTAAGAAGGAAGAGTGAAACAGGTGGTATTGCTATACCAGATCTTAAACTACACTACAGAGCAATAGTAACAAAAACAGCATGGTACTGGCACCAAAATAGGCTGGTAGACCAATGGTACAGAATAGAGGACACAGAGACTAACTCACAAAATTATAACTACCTTATATTAGACAAAGGTGCTAAAAGCATGCAATGGAGAAAGGATAGCATCTTCAACAAATGATGCTGGGAAAACTGGAGATCCATATGCAACAAAATGAAATTGAATCCCTATCTCTCACCATGCACAAAAGTTAACTCAAAATGAATCAAGGATCTAGGAATCAAACCAGAGACTCTGCGTCTAATAGAAGAAAAAGTAGGCCCTAATCTTCATCATGTGGGGTTAGGCCACAATTTCCTTAATAAGACACCTATAGCAAAAGAATCAAACCAAGAATCAACAAATGGGATAAATTCAAACTAAAAAGTTTTTTCTCAGCAAGAGAAACTATATGTGAGGTGAATAGGGAGCCTACATCATGGGAACAAATTTTTACCCCTCACACATCAGATAGAGCTCTACAAAGAGTATACAAAGAACTCAAAAAGCTAAACACCAAAAAAACAAATAACCCAATCAACAAATGGGCCAAGGACCTGAACAGACACTTCTCAGAAGATGATATACAATCAATCAACAAATACATGAAAAAATGCTTATCATCTCTAGCAATCAGAGAAATACAAATTAAAACTACTCTAAGATACCATCTTACTCCAGTAAGAATGGCAGCCATTATGAAGTCAAACAACAACAAGTGCTCGCGAGGATGCGGGGAAAAAGGTACACTCATACATTGCTGGTGGGACTGCAAATTGGTACAGCCAATTTGGAAAGCAGTATGGATTTTCCTTGGAAAGCTTGGAATGGCCACCATTTGACCAGCTATTCCTCTTCTTGGTCTATACGCAAAGGACCTAAAAACAGCATACTACAGGGACACAGCCACAACAATGTTTACAGCAGCACAATTCACAATAGCTAAACTGTGGAGCCAACCTATAGGCCCTTCAGTAGATGAATGGATAAAAAAATGTGGCATATATACACAATGGAATATTACTCAGCAGTAAAAAATAACAAGATCATGGCTTTTGCAGGGAAATGGGTGGCATTAGAGCAGATTATGCTAAGTGAAGTGAGCCAATCCCAGAAAAACAAATGCTGAATGTCTTCTCTGATAAAAGTGGGGTGAGTCAAAATGGGGTAGGGAGGAAGAGCATGGGAAGAAGATTACCTCTAGATAGGGAAGAGAGGTGGGAAGGAAAGGGAGGAAAAAGGGGAATTGCATGGAAGGTGGAAGGAGACCCTCATCTTTATACAGAATACATGTATGAAGATGTAAGAAAAAAAAGAATAGCATCACCTTAGATTGGGTAGAGAGAAGTGATGGGAGGGGAGGGGAGGGGAGGGCGGGATAGAAAGGACAATAGAATGAAATGACATCATTATTACTGTGTGTATATATGTGACTGCATTACCAATGTGATTCTGCAACCTGTATACTCAGAAAAATGAGAAATTATATCCCATATGATTCAAATCTATGATATGTCAAGGTCATTTTACTGTCATGTGTAACTAATTAAAACAAATAAAAAATTTTTTAAAAATGAGAGTCTTCTAAAATAGATAGATGGTTAAAAAAAATAACAAGAGCTTGAACCAGAAGATGGCATTACCACAAGCAGAAGGAAAGAAGCAGATAAATCATGAGAGAGCAGAAAGAAGCAGAATTCAACACCTCACATATGCTGCACAGAAGGAACTCAGAAAATAGAGAAATAACTAACACTGGTGCTACAGCCAATATCCCGTGCTAACAAGTAGTATCTTACCAATCATCACAACTGGTCTTCATGGTAGGAATATCTTCATCTCCATTTTACAGATGAAGTATAGAGAACTTAATAAACCTACCCCAAAATTATAAAGGTAGGAAATGGTTGGATTCTTAAATAAGATACTGCATAGATAAAACTGAGGTTTCAAGCCTGGAAGATTTAAGGATAATTTCATTTGTGCAACCAAGAAACAGGGGAAGAGGTACAAACCACTGCCCAGAACAATGGCTTTATCTCTATTGACATTTGTCTTATTGAACGTAAGCATCATTGTCTCCTCAGTAAACACAGTGCCATTTCTTCAAATGAATATAATTTGACAAGTATTCCCCAAACCACCTTAGAAAAAAACTTTATATGTAGACAAGTCCTTGAAAGAAATATGTGCAAAATTCCAAAAGTTGGAAGTTAATGGTGTATACATTCACTTCCCCTGATTTCCTCCGCCTCAGCATTTCTTGCAACCTTCCCTCTTGGTTCCAATATCCTAAACCACCTTCAATCAAGCCCTCTCTGCTTCTCCTCTGGTCTGTAATGATCACCTTGTAATTGGGTCCTCATCTTCAGGATTCACAGCCAAACTTCATCATCAAATTATGGCCTATGCATCAAACTAGGCCACAGGCCATCTTTGTGTGTACTGAGAGTTAAAAATGTTTTTTTAACTGAAAAAAAAAAAACAAAGAATAGATGCACGTGGCCCACAAAACCTAAAATATTACCATCTTTGTTTTCCATAGAAGTCTGGTAGTCATTAAGGGCACGGTGACGCATGCCTATAATCCAAGCAATTCAGGAGGCTGAGGCAGGAGGATCGTGAGTTCAAAGCCAGCCTCAGCAACGGCAAGACACTAGGCAACTCAGTGAGATCCTGTTTCTAAACAAAATACAAAATAGGGCTGGGGATGTGGCTCAGTGGTTGAGTGCCCTGAGTTCAATCCCTAGTACCTCCATCCCAAGAAAAGAAAAGTATGCTTGTCCAGGCTCTAAGCCATCCTCCATACCCCTTTCTGGAGGCAACAATAATAGGAATACATTACCCTGTTTCAAAGACCATGCCCTGTTCCTATCTGCCTGGTGAATTCCATTATCCTTCACTGTACAGAAAAAGCAACAATCCTTCTGCACTTCCAGAATGACTTTCATTGGCTGGGGGTGAAGCTCAGCAGTATAGCACTTGCCTGTCATGCAGAAAGCCCTATATTCCATCCCCAGTATCACACACACAAAAAGAATAATGTTTTCCACCTGCATAGGTAATTATCATATCATAAAATCACTAAATAAATCATCATATAAATCATATGATTACTGATATCTTAAGAAAGGTTTTTACAAGTAGGAATTCATACCTTTGTAGGTAGGAATTTTTTCTCTTTTTAAACTACCATTTGTTGAATGCTTTCTACAGATCTAGAAACGTAAAAATATCTCATTTAAATCTCCTAATAACCATAAAAATTAGTTACTACTATCCTCAATTTACATCTAAGGAAAGAGACTATGCTCACAAAGTTAACAACTGGTGAGAACAGGATTTAAACTTAAGATCTGTCAGATCTCCTGAAACAAAAGAGGTAATTAATAAATGCTGAATAAACTGATGAATAGATTGACAAATAAATGGCTTTCTCTCTGACTTCAGAGCCACTATTCTTCACAATATGGCTTTGATTTGACTTAATATTGAATGTCATCTCAAAGGAGATTTGAAGGATAAAACCTGGTAAAAAAAATAATCTTTTAAAATCCTAAATGATAAAACACAGATTGTTAAGGTTTAGATACTAAAGAATCACAGGATCATAGAATGTTGGAAGTGAAGTGTATCAATTTATCTAATTCTAAAACTCTTATGATTATTTCTTCATTGCTCATTTTATTTCAAAGATGATTCAGAGCATTTAATATTTGACCTCTGTTCCTAGCATTCTTTTCAAATAGTCATACAGTCAATAAAACTACAAGTCAAATGGAGAATCGACATAAAAGCAAAACATCAAAAATTGATAAGTAACATCACGCACACTCTAGCAAGTCCATATATGCATATTGCTACTGCACCATATCCATTTACCATTGCCAAGTACACATCAATAATCCAACCCTCCCCCCAACACACATCTGTAACAAAGGCCCAAAATTTTACAAAGAAAATGAAGTTACCTTTAATCTCTTTTCCTTTTCCATCATAATGGTCCCAACAACAATAAGTATAACTTGAGAGAATGTAAATAAAGCTGTCCAAGGAAATATAATTATGAATTGCCACATAAACCCATCATGATAATATTCAGGGTATGGAAATCTCTTAACGTAAATTTCAGTATTCTCAAATATCTGTTTTGCAGCTTCACCACCATGATATATCATGATGGCCTTATCTAAGGAATGTTGCACAGTAAGGAACCCTTCTCTGAAGTATCCTAAATGAGAAAACAAAGATTGTCAAGTTTGGATACTAAGAAAAAGCTGTATAAGCTAAGAAGACAAGTCAGGTAACTCAAAGCTTTTAACTCAGAAAACAAAACAATTTCATGAACATATACTGTGATTTGGGATCCACATATAATAAACACCATGAAACTGTATTACTACCTTCCCCAATCTAAAATATTACGTAAAAACGGAACAGTTGTTTTATGTGATTTTATCAAACTAAATGAGAAGTACAGCAAATATTAGACAGAACTCTTGCTATAGTTTTCAATGTATATGTCCCTCCAAAAACTTGTATGTTTGAAATAATACTCAGTGAGATAGTTTTGAAAGGTGGGGCTTTATAGGAAATTATTAAGTCATGAATATTCCACTCTCATGAAGAGAAGTAGTGCTCTTATAAAAGATTTTGAAGGGAATACCATAATCTTTTTGCCCTTTTCCCTTCACACCACATGGAGACATAGCTTTCATCTCCTCCAGAAGATGCAGTGAGTTGTCATTGTGGAAGCACAGAGAAAGCCCTTTCCTGAGGTCTAATCAGAGGGTACACCTTGGTCTTGGATTTCCTAACCAACCAGACTTGTGAGAAATAAATTTTTATTATTTTGAGTTGTATAGTCTGTGGTATTTAGTTATAGCAGCCTGGAATTGACTAAGACACTGAATATATGAAATAGAAAGGAAACTCAGAAAAAAATGATACAATTCAATTTACAATAGCATCAAAAAGAATAAAGTACTTAGGAATAAATTTAACCAAGATGATGAATAACTTGTACACTGGAAACTATAAAATGTTACCAAAATAAAATTTAAAAGACACAAGTCATTTGAATCCCATATTCATGAAATTCTTAATATTATTTAAGGGTCCATACTTACCCAAGGAAACCTAAAGATTCAATGTAATCACTATCAAAATCACAGTTGTATGTTTCCTAGAAATAGAAAATAACATTCTAAGCCTGGCTCAGTGGCACACACCTGTAATCCCAGCAGCTCAGGAGGCTGAGGCAGGAGGATTGCAAGTTCAAAGCCAGCCTCAGCAAAAATGAAGCACTAAGCAACTCAGTGAGACCCTGTCTCTAAATAAAATACAAAACTCAGTGATTTGAGTGCCCCTGAGTTAAATCCTCAGTATGCACCTCTCCAAGAGAAAATAACATCCTAAAATATAAATGGAATCCCAAAGAATCCTGAATAACAAAAACAAACAAGAAGAAAGAATAAATCTAGAGTTCTCACATTTCTCCATTTCAAAACATATTACAAAGCTATAACCAAAAGAGTACGCCACTGGCATAATGACAGATGAATGAACAGGCTTCATCCGTGGTGAAGTGATATTCATCAGGGTCTCCAAACCAAACAACAGGGAAAAGACAGTCTCTTATTAATAATTGGTACTGGGAAAAACTAGATATCCAGAAAAATGTAACTGGCTTCCTACTTATGATATACAAAAACCAGATGAAAAGGAATGAAAAACCTAAATATAAGACACAAAATGAAAAATCTCTTAGAAGAAAACATATGGGAAAAGCTTTATGATACAGGATTTGGTAATGATTTTATAACTGTAACAGCAAGAGAAACTAAAAACTTGACCAACAGGACTACATCAAACTCCAAACTTTCTGTGCAGCAAAGGAATAATTAAATTTAAGAGGGTAGACATCATTTTAAATATTCTTATCAAACACACAAAATGTGTCCTCACCCTTAAAATTCACCAAAATAATCTGTTTTAATCTTCTCACCTACTACCTTTCTCAATTGATCTAACAGACAGCTATGGTTTGGATGTAGTTTGTCTCCCAAGGTTTATGTCCTGGAAGCTTGGCCCCAGTGTGGTGACACAGAAGTGGTGCAAATATTCAGAGGTGGAGGCTTAGTGAGAGGTGATTGGGCCATAACTGCCATCAGTAGGGATTAATACTGGTCTCATGGAATGAGCACAAGTGGATTAGTTCCTGCAGAGTGAGCTGCTGCAGAGTAAGCCTGGCACCTCCCTGCTCTGTTGCTTCTTTGATCATGTACATGCCCTTTCTGCATATGGCTGTTTCCTTTCCATTTCTCTGATGTTTCAATGCTTCAGATGTTGGTGCCATGATATTTAAACACTCCAACAACCAGAATACTAAGAAAATAAAACATAACCAAGCTCAGGTATTTTGTTAGAGCCATACAAAACAGATTAAGACACTGGTAAAAGTCCTAATAACTAGCATTACAGAATTTTGGTGCAGACAGACATATGAGATCACCTTCCAGAACACTTTGGGTTATCTGAAGAAAATAAGATTAAGATCTTAATGATCCCAAATAACAGAATTTAAGGGGGAACAGGTCAACTGACTCCTGATCACATTACAGTACTATTTACAAAAGAGTGTCTCATCACGCCAAACTTAAATATTAATTTGATATACAAAGTCATTCAATATTTGTAATTTGTCTATCTTCTTTCTTATTTTGTAGACAACATTTTAAGTAAAATCTCTCTTCAAAAATAATGTTGCATATAAATATTTTTATAAGATCAACTTTCTCTCTCTCTTCTAAGACCATGACATTTCCTACCATTGTTCCCACAGAATATCTTTGGGATGCAGCATATTAATTATAAGATACTAGATTCCTTTTTAGACTATTGATTAGAAAAATATTCTTAATGTTTTTGATAAAATGACAAAGTACCACATAATCCCACCTTCCTGAGTTCACAACTACCCAAATCTTTATATATTTTCATATTTATTTTCCAAAGCCATAACTGTATTTATAGCTCTATATTAATCAGAGCTGAAAGTAATTCTTCTAATAACTACATCAAAGTCTGTCAAACTGTAACCATGTGCTTATCACAGATGATTTTCACTATTTTCAAATTTTAAAGGTAATGGTAAATTGAACATAGTTCTTGTCTTCTGTTGAATAATTTCCTAAAGAAAATTAGGAGCATTAGTTCTTACTGGTGTTCTTTTTTTTTCTTCAAGGTAATTTAGAAAAATTAAAATTACCTTTGTGTGATTAATCAAAAAATCATCAACATAAGTATGCAGGACATGTTGGTATGTGAAAATATATCTATCAGATCAGCAGACCAGAAATTTACCAACTAAAACTATTTAAATATACAGATATAAAAACTTCAGGAAACAATTTAAAGCAATATAGACATTTTTCATAAGTATAAGATTTCATATGTTTGTTTTACAATATAAATTAAAATGAAAAAATTACGGCCACAATGAATAAACAACTTTTTCACATCTAAAATGTGTAGTACCTGCCTTCATGCAATAAAATAACAATATAAATATGCTTAAGGATCTGCTTACCAGGCTCTCCCCCATCATCTTCCATGGGGTTTCTATGAAATTCAGGAGGGGTACTTGGAAAAAGAAGAGCTGTGTCCCATTTCGTCCTTTTATCACTCTCAGGTATTGTATCTTCTGAAGTTGAATAGTACTTACTAAAACGCAGATGATATTTTACCTAAAGTGGACCATAGAAAACAAACATTTTAAAACAATGAACATTGAAAAGTAAACTTATGAAGGAAAGTAAAACACAAATTTTTAAATTGTGTTTTGAGGACAGAATGAACAATTTAGGATTCTAAATGAAGAGAAACAACACTATCACTGTGACATGGGACAAACAGTAAATCAAAAAAACAGCCAAAAATTGAAATTATCTAAACTTTTATCTGTCCTCTTTCACCTTCATGACATTGGCATCTGAGTTTCAAAGTCAACAGTGGGGCTTGGTCATCCTTGTGAATACTGTTCTAGACCCGCAATAGGTCTGCCTAGTTAATGAACATCAAAAAGTCTACTTAGGGTGATATCAGAAAGATGTTAGAGAGGATTGTCCCCGAGAGCCTTCACAGAAAGCCCAGCCCAGCCCAGAGCAGATTTCACACCTCCAGCATCCAGAACCATGAGGAAATTCGTTTGTGTTGTTTTAGGCCATCCAGTTTGTAGTGCTTTGTCCCAGCAGCCCAAGGAACCCAAGGCAGGTGGCCCTGAGAATGAATAACCTTTGCAATAAATGGTGCTGGGATAAACTTGTATTGACACAGAAGCAACCAGAAACTTGATCTTCTTTCAAATTATACACACAAAAAAAATTATGTATATGGTAGATCTAAATATGAAAAGCAAAATAATAAATCTTCTAGGAGAAAAAAAAAAGAAAGATGTTAGAAAGGGAAGTCCCAGGCTTCACTATTCCAAACAAACAAGAACACTTTGTTGAAAATCCCAAAACATAAGAATAATCTGGAATCATCGATGGTACACAGAACTGAGTAAAAAAAAAAAATGCATTAAAGACAATGAATGACAAGAGCAAGACTTCTGAGTAGAAATACTTCTGCTCACACACAAAAAAAATGACTAAAACATAGAATAAACAACTAGTATTCAACTGAGGGAGAGACAGAAGTGCAGAGGGGTCTGATGAAGAACACTGTGGAGCACGAAGACCGGCAGTTGCCTTGTGAACAATGGAACAAAGGACCTTGCATCTTCCCTCTCACCTCCCCAGAGGAAGCAACTTAGAACCAGGAGGTATTTCTCATAACAGGGAAAAGGTAAGCTGAAAGCCCCTCTTGACACCACAGACACCTGAAGTTTGTGCCATGGGAGAATCCTAGAGCCAACCTAGGACCTGAGACCAGTTTCAGGAACTTCTGGGGAAAATACTACGATAACCTGCCCCTAGTGAGTCACAGCTAGTGATGTGACACCTCTGTAGCCTATGCAGTTGAGGCACTCACAAGCATTGCTAGCATTGATTAGCTGAAGAAACTGAATGGCAATGACACTATTGGGCCCACCTGAGAACATTTGCTCTACGAAACCAACATCCTACATTCTATTTCCAGGAGAAAGACTTCCACTATGAAAGTAAATCTTTAAAATTAGTATAAGCAACTATCCTACCACATGTGCAAATATCAATTTTGATACACAAAAATATGAAAAAGGCAATATGACACCTCCAAAGGGACACAAAAATTATCCAAAAACAGACTGCAAAGAAAATAAAATATATGAAATGCCAAAAATATTCAAAATAATGATATCAAGAAACTAATACAAAAGAATAAGAACAGACAATTCAAAGAAATCAGGAAAATAACTCATTATTGGAATGCAAAATTTAACAGAGATATATCAAAAACAGAATCAAACAAAAACCATGTACCTGAACAATCCGGGGAGTAAAAAGTTACCATTGAGAGTTTTAACAAGAGACCAGACAGATCAGACAGAAGAATTTTTGGACTGGAAGACAGGTCTTTTGAAATAACCCAATCAGATTTTAAAGAGAAAGGAAGAAAGAAAAAGCTTGTAATACTTTAGTATATCATTGAGTGAAGAAATGTTTACATTTATTGAAGAAGGAGAGAAGACAGGAAAAGCCATAGGAAAACATACCTAATAAAGTAATTACTGAAAACATTCTCTATTGTTGGAGCAATACAGACACCCAAAGGAAATTCAAAAGATAACAAACTCAAACCAAGAAGGTGCTGTCTAAGACATCATAGGGCTAAACTGTTAGAAGTCAACAACAAGGAATGATTAAGATCAGAACCAAAATTAATGAGATAGCAAATTTAAGAGAAACAACAACAAAGAAACAGCGAGTTGGTTCTCTGAAAACATAAACAAGATAAATAAAACCTTCGCCAACTAACCAAAAGGAAAAGAGAGAAGACCCAATTTAATAAAATAAGAGATGAAAAAGGAGAAATTACCATATACATCATAGAAATCCAGAGGATCATCAGGGACTATTTCAAAAACAAATACTCCAATAAATTGGAAAACCTAGAAAAAAAGGAAACATTTCTAGATATATATGACCTGCCAAAATGAATTGAGATACACAGAAAATTTGAACACACCAATAACTAACAATGAGATAAAAACAGTTATAAAAAGTCTTCTAACACCATCATCACCACCAACAACAAAAACCCAGGTTCATGGAGTTTCAGTTAAACAATGCAGTGGTCCTCAAATTATTCCATGAAACTGAAAGGGGTGGAACACTTCTAAATTCATTCTATAAAACCAGTATCACACTAATACCAAAACCAGATACACAGGAAAGAAAACTAAAACCAATATCCCTTATGAACAAAATTCCTTAATAAAATACCAAAAAACATATACAAAAGCATAGTAAGAAGACTTTACATCATGACCAAGTTGGTTGAATTCCAGGACTGCAAGGATGGTTTAACATATGCAAACCAATAAATGTAATTCACCACACAAACAGAATTAAAGATCACATGGTCATCTCAAAAGATGCAGAGAAAACCTTGGACAAAATCTGGCACCCATTCATGAAGAAACTAGGGATAGAAGAAACTTACCTCGACATAATAAAGTCTATATACAACAATCCCAAAACCAACTTCATAGTGAATGGGGGGAAGCTGAAAGCATTTCCTTTAAAATCTAAAACAAGACAAGGAGGCCCACTCTCCTCACTCCTATTCATTATAGTACTAGAAATTCTATCCAGAACAATTAGTAAAAAGAAAGGAAGAAGTGAAATTATTACTGTTTGGAGATCTTAGAAGACTGCTAGAGCTAATAAACAAATTCAGCAAAGTAACAGGTTATAAAATCAACATTAAAAATCAATAGCTTTCCTAAACATTAATAATGAATCTTCTGAGAAAACAATCCCACTCACAATAGTCTCAAAATATTAAAAGAAAGAAAGCCTGTGAATAAATTGAACCAAGGACATGAAAGACCTTACAATAAAAACTATAAAATGCTGAAACCAAAGATCTTAGAACATAAAAAGACCTCCCATGTTCATGAATAGACAGAATTTATATCACCAAAATGGTCATACTATCAGAAGCAATATACAGATTCAGTGCAATACCCATCAAAATACCAATGACATTTTTCACAGAACTAGGAAAAAAATCCCAAAATTCAGTTGGAATAAGACCCAAAGTGACCAAAGAATTCTAAGCCAAAAATACCGAATGTAGGAGGCATCACAATACCTAACTTTGAATTACACTACGGAGGTACAGTAACAAAAACTGCCTGGTATTGCCACAAAAACAGACACAAAGATCAATGGAACAGAAGATATAGAAACAGGCTGTTTTAGCTTTCTTTCTGCTGTGACTGAAAGACCCGAACAGCTCAATTTTAGAGGAGGAAGAGTTTATTTAGCAGTTCACAGTTTCAGAGGTCTCAATCCATAGACAGCAGGCTGCATTCCTCAGGCTTTAGGTGAGGCAGGATATCATGGCAGAGAGTGAGGTGGCGGGAAGCAGCTCCCATGATGATCAGAAATCAGAGAGAGAGAGGGGTCTCCACTAGACAGATACAAATATGTACCCCTCGACGCCCCAATGCCCTACCTCCTCCACCACACCCCAGGCTTTGGTTACCACTCAGTTAATCCCAACAGGAGATTAATTCACAGACTGGGTTAAGACTATCATAACCTAATCATTCTCCTCTGAACCTTCTTGCATTGTCTCACACATGAGCTTCTGGTATGAGACAATGCAAGAAGGTTTAGAGGAGAATGATTAGGTTATGATAGTCTTAACTATCATATCCATAACACGTATCCATAATACAGATCCACAAGATACAGTCATCTGATTCTTGGCAAAGGTTTCAAAAACATACACTGGAGGAAAAAAAACAGCATGCTACAGGGACACAGCCACATCAATGTTTATAGCAGCACAATTCACAATAGCAAAACTGTGGAGCCAACCTGGATGCCCTTCAGTAGATGAATGGATAAAAAATGTGGCATATATACACAATCGAATTTTACTCATCAATAAAAGAGAATAAAATTATGGCATTTGCAGGTAAATGGATGGTGGTGAAGATAATGCTAAGTGAAGTTAGCCCATCCCCCCCAAAAACAAATGCCAAATATTTTCTCTGATATAAGGAGACTGATTCATAGTGGGGTAGGGGGAGTGAGCATGGGAGGAATAGATGAATTCTAGATAGGGCAGAGGGGTGGGAGGAAAAGGGAGGGGGAAGGGGTTAGCAAGGGTGGCAGAATGTGATGGACATTATTATCCAAAGTACATGTATGAAGACACAAATTGGTGTCAACATACTTTCTATACAACCAGAAATATGAAAAATCGTGCTGTATATGTGTAATAAGAATTGTAATAAGTTTCACTGTCATTTATTTTTTTAAAAAATCAATAAAAAAGAAGATTAAAGCAGGAAGCATCACAATATCAGACCTTAAACCATACTGCAGAGCAATAGTAACAAAAATGGCATGGTATTGGCACCAAAATAGACTGGCAGACCAATGGTACAGAATGAAGGACACAGAGACAAACTCACATAGATACAGTTATCTCATAGACAAAAGTGCCAAAGACGTACATTGGAGAAAAGATAGTCCCTTCAACAAATGGTGCTGGGAAAAGTGGAAATTCATATGCAGCAAAATGGAATTAAACCCCTGTCTCTCACCCTGCAAAAAACTCAACCCAAAGTGGATCAAGGACCAAGGAATTAGAGGAGGACTCTGTGCCTAACAGAAGAAAAAGCAGGCCTAAATCTTCATCATATCAGCTTAGTACCTGACTTCCTAACAAAACTCCTAAAGCACAAGAAATAAAATCAGGAATCAATAAATGGGATGTATTCAAAGTCGAAGCTTCTTCTCAGCAAAGGAAACAATCAATAACCTGAAGAGAGAGCCTACAGAATGGGAGAAAATCTTTAACACATACACATCAGAGTACTAATCTCCAGGATATATAAAGAACTCAAAAAACTTAACACACATAAAAAATGAATAACCCTATCAATAAATGGGTTAATGAACTGAGCAAACACTTCACAGAAGAAGATATAGAATTGATCAACAAATATATGAAAAAATGTGCAACATATCTAGCAATTAGAGAAATGCAAATCAAAACTACTCTAAGATTTCATCTCACTCCAGTCAGAATAGCAATTATCAAGAATACAAATAATAATAAGTGCTGGCAAGAATGTGGGTACAAAGGTACATTCAAACATTTCTGGTGGGATTGAAAAATGCTTCAACTCTTTGGGGAAAGCAGTATGGAGATTCCTTAGAAAACTTGGAATGGAACCATGACTTGACCTAGCTATGCCACTTCTCAGTCCATACCCAAATGACTTAAAATCAGCAGACAACAGTGATATAGCCATCTCAATGTTTATAGCAGCTCAATTCACAACAGCTGAAATGTGGGATCAACCTAGAGGAATGGAGACTGCAGTATATATACACAAGGGAATATTACTCAGCCTTAAAGAAGAATGAAATTATGGCATTGCAGGCAAATGGATAAAGTTAGAGAATATCATGCTAAATGAAGTAATCCAATCCCCAAAACACAAAGGCTATATGTGTTCTCTGATAAGTGGATGCTGATCCATAATGGGGGGAGGGGGTGTGCACAAAGAAAGAATGGAGGAACTCTGGATTGGGCAGAAGAGAGGGAAAGGATGGGAGTGTAGGGGTGAGAAAGATAGTGAAATGAGACAGATATTATTATCCTATGTACGGATATGATTGCATGAATGGTGTGACTCTACGCCATTTATAACCAAAGAAATGGAAAGTTGTGCTCCATTTCTGTAGAAATTAATTAATTAATGAAAAAAAAAGGATCTGGTAAACTACCAAGTTACCATTGTCCTTTTCTATCCTCTTTAAGGGAGATCATAACCCTTAGCATCTATGTATGTACTAATTCCAATGCAACCTGACAGAGCCTAACAGCTATTATTAAAGATTTAGAAGTAATTCTAATTAATGAAAAAGAAGCAAGTTTATCAGGTTGGAATCTCTGCTAGTACTTATATGTCTGCTTTTGCTTTGAATATGTTTGACCTGGGCATATTCTTATTTTCTTGCCCACCATTTGAAGAAGAACTAGAAGCATCTGCCAGGACAAATAGGTTTTCAAAGTTAATATCCTGACTAGTTAATGTTCCTATCATTCCATATTCCATTGATATAAGACCACAGAGTGGCAGATATAGACTCTCAGCAGAATAATGCAATGCTTAAAATCTTGTATTTTTAAAAAGTTAGAACTAGATTCAAATGCGAGCTCAGTTATAAATTAGCAGTTAAGATCCTAAACAAGTTATAGTTTTTCTCACTAATTCTCTAAAATCTAAAAGTATAATTATCAGTTTTTAGATAAACTTTCTCACCTTAAGTGGCAAGTTCTCATCACTGCTTTTGAAGTCATGATCAAATATGATAGCAGCCATCACAGGATTAGAATTATTTTCAGTCCTAATATAATTTTCAAAAGATGTTTCTGAAGAAAAGCCACGAACTGTAGAAAGAAAAAAATCTAAATTATTCACATATATGTAACATGTCTATTAATACCAAAATCCTAATGGTAAATTTCAAAACATTGTTACTTAAACATTGACATATCAGACCACTTAATGGATGTGATACAAAACCAAAATAAAATAGACCATAGATATGCACATAAAAACCAAAACAAAAAAGCCCCCCCACAAGATAATAGAGACTATATTTTCATGACTGTGGAATAGGGAAAATTTTTTAAACAGCAAACAAAGAGCAAAAAATATAAAGAAAAAGATTGAGGTATATTAGATTTTATTAAAGTTAAGAACCATTATTCTTCAAAAGCTACCACTAAGTAAAAAGTAAGACAGACAGAGCTGATATGCAATACCTATAATCAACAAATAAACATGTAAATAACTCCTAAAATCAGTAAGAAAAAATAGTCAAGCCAATAGTGAAATGAAAAATATTTGCATAAGCTCCTCACAGTAAAACAATAGACTGAGTTGACCAAGGAGGATATGAAGATGTGTTCAAATCAGATTTTAATCAGAGTAAAGCAAGTTAGAAACAAAATGATTCCATAACATATTGCATCAAATGGCTAGAATTTGGTAGTTATATCAATATTTGTATACATTAAATGAAAATTATTCATTATTTTTTCCTTTTCCATATAAATAAAAACATATGACATTTACCTTAAAGGTAAGTGATGGATGCTGTCATCTCTGTCTATTACTAGAATCCAGTGAATTGGTTGCTCCATATTTATAACCTGATGCAAAGGCAAGCATCTTCTGGTTTCAAGCACATGGGTTATCTAAGCTAAGATATTTTGCTTCCCCAAAATAGAAATACTAGATAAAATTTATGTAATGCATAAGTAATAATAGAAACAAAAAGGGTAAAGGAAAGTAGGTAGATAGGGAGGGAAGGAGGGTGTGAAGGAAAGAAAAAGGAAGAATGATATATGAAGAAGGGAAAGACACAAGATATCCAAATTCCATAAATGAAGAGGCAGTTTCTACTGACTTCTCAACTCTCACAAGTATAATTTTCAATAGGGTAAAATTAGTTTTGTAAGCAGCTTTTAAACTTTTTGAGGATATAGCTCAATTTTTTAAATTCTTTTAAATTGGCATGTTGTAGTTGTACATATTGGTGGGATGCATTGTTATACGTGATTATATATATGAGATTATGTACATGTATATAATTTGGCCAATATCACTCACCAGCACTTCCTCTTTCTCTCTCCTCCTCCCATCCCAGTCCCTTTTCTCTATTGATCTCCCATTGATTTTCATGAGATTCCACACCCACCCACCCACACACCTCTTTTCTTTTTTCCTCTCTAGCTTCCACATATGAAAGAAAACATGTAACCCTTGACCTTCTGAGTGTGGCTTATTTTCCTTGATATAATGCTCTCAATTTCCATCCATTTTTCTGCAAATGACATAACTTTGTTTTTCTTTATGCTGAATGTTTATATTTACCACATTTTCTTTATCCATTCATCTGTTGGCAGACACCTAGTCTGGTTCCATAACGTGGTTATTATGAATTTCACTGCTATAAATATTAATACACATGTGCTGATTTCAGTTCTTTCAGGTAAATAGCCAGGAGTGGTATAGCTAGGTAATATGGTGGTTCCATTGCTAGTCTTTTGAGAAATATACATACTGATTTCCAAAGTGGTTGTACTAATTTGCAGCCCCACAACCAATGGGTTAGTACATTTTTAGCTCAGATCTGCAACAGAATTTATTGCTATTTGTATTCTTGATGATTGCCATTCTACCTAGAGATGAAATCTAAGTAGTTTTGATTCACACTTCCCTTCTTCTTGCTCATTTCCTTTGCTTTGCAGAAGATTTTTTAAATTTGATGCCTTCCTTTTTTATTTTTGGTTTTACATCTTAAGCTTTCGTAGTCTTTTTTCCCCATTACAATTCTTATTACACGTATACAGCACAATTTTTCATATCTCTGGTTGTATATAAAGTATGTTGACACCCAATTGTACTTTGGATAATGATGTCCACCACATTCCACTGTCCTTGCTAATCCCCTGCCCCCTCCCTTTCCCTCCCACCCCTCTTCTCTATCTAGAATTCATCTAATCCTCCCATGCTCCCACTTCCTACCCCACTAAGAGTCAGCCTCCTTATATCAGAGAAAACTTTTGGCATTTGTTTCATTGGGATTGGCTAAATTCAATCAGCATTATCTTCTCCAACACGATCCATTTACCTGCACATACCATGATTTTATTCATTTTTATTGCTGAGTAAAATTCCATTGTGTATATATGCTGTGGGAGACCATCCTTGCACGTGACTTGAGTTTCCTCCCCAGCTGGGTGTGAGGCACTCAGTCATTTTTAATGTAGCAGAGCTTCCCCCCACTTCTTGGGCTCCAGAGCTTGTCCCTGTGGAGACGTGTCTCACCACTGCCCCAAAGGTCTAATCATTGCACCTGACCTTGCAACACTTCCCCCCTTGACCTTCATTAGATGGGATTTTCCCCAGAATTCTTTGTTCCCCAATAAAAGCCATCTCCCTAGTGCTTGCTCTGTCTCGCTAGCCTCTTCAGTAAAACCTTGCTGCCCACCTGGAGAGTTTGAGGCTGAGGGTTTGAGGAGCCATCCCAGAGATGGTTTAAAGGTAAAATGGTCTGTGTCTTTAATTTAAACTCCCTGAGGATTTCCCCCCATGACCAAATGGTTCACACCATCTGTGCTGGGCGCCCTTGAACGTGGGGCACTCGGGTTAAATCCTAGTTTGAGTAGAGAAGCATCTGCTATATATAAATTTAGTGGATCCTGGCAATTTTGTAGGGTCACAGAGGTAGCAGACAGTTTGGAGCTAAGGATGTTAAAGATTAATAATGGGAAATTCAGCTTCAACAGATAAAGACATGTATTTAACTATTTTGGAGACAGTAATTAATCAAAAGGGAAAACAGGTCAAAAGGACTCAACTAGCACAGTTCTTAAAGATGGTTGGTGAATTTGTCCATGGTTTTGTGATCAAGATTTATCAGATTTACATACTTGGGAGAGATTAGGAAGAAAATTACATAAAGCTTGTCTTTCTGCTGAATTACCAAACAGTACTATTGATAATATTCTGATGGTTTGGACTGTATTAGAAATTTGCCTTTTTGATAACTTGGGCCAGAGTCCATGACCCGCCCCCCCCCCCAAGATCTATTGAAAGGAATTCAGAGAGTGATCAAATCTATAGAAATGGAAAAACTGCCTGAAGCTAAAAGAATCTCTCTTCCTTTACCTAGGTTGAGAGCAGAATCAAATTCCATTCAAATTACCCATCAGGCTGGTGACCTTGGAGCCAGACCCAAGATTGGGAGGTTAGCTCCACCCAAACGAGACCAGATTAATCACTTAGAAAAAACATCTTTCCCAAGAAAGTTGGGAGGAAAACCATAGATAAGAAGCCTCCTGAGGGAGAGATAATGCCCCTTGGAGAGAGGAGAATAGAGAGAGAATTTTTAGAGAGGTAGAGAGTCCTCTTCCTCCTCGAGACTTTGGGAAACAAAGCCAAGATGGAGGCGAGGAAGGACACATGGATGGGTCTCAGACCAAGGGAGATGAGTCAGACAGTGAAATCCAGGAAATTTTAACAGTATGTCTAGCAGGACCTGCTCCAGCTATTCAGATTCAGCCGCTTCCAGTTATGAGGACAAATTTTAACAGGTACTCTGAGCTAGCAATGACCTTCCTTACACCATTACAACGTGGATTCAGGAAGGCTGAGGAGGCCGATGAAGACGTTAGTGGATTTCAGTTTTTCCCAGTTTTTGAACAGGTTAACGACCAAGACCAGCATGTCCACATCCATGCTGTAATTTCATTTAAAACTATCAGGGAGTTAAAAAATGCTTGTGATGTATATGGTCCTAATTAGCCATTTGTGCAAAGCTTGCTAGAAACAATTTGTCATCAGCCACTCGCTCCAAGTGACTGGATCGCCATCACACAATCTTGTTCAAGAGATGGAGATTTTTTGCTTTGGAGGTCCTATTGGTCCGATTATTATTCAGAACAAGCAGAAAGAAATTGAAGGCAAAATATTGAAACCCCTTTGGAGATGCTTTTGGGAAGGGGTGAATTTGTAGACTTGGAAAGACAGTTGAATTACAGATTTGCAGTCTATTATCAGATAACCGCATGTGCTAAGTGTGCATGGTGACAAATTAAATCCCGGGGGACCAGTCTAGATTAGTTTTAACTAAGATTAAATAGGGCACAGACAAGCTTTACTCAGACTTTGTGGACCATGTGTATCAGATGGCAAACAGATCAATCAGAGACCCAGGTGCTTGTGAATATATCGTCAAGCAGTTAGCGTTTGAAAATGCAAATAAACTTTGTCAGGATGTTCTCAGAACCCATAGAAAGAAACAATTTTAGAATGTATCTGTTTGTGTTCAGATATTGGTCCAACTCAATTACAAGGTCTTACCCTTGCAGCCGCCTTAAAACAAGCATTTCAACCGCAGCCAGTTGAAATTCCAATCCCGCGAGCGATGTTTTAATTGTGGGAGAAATGGTCATTTTACACTAGACTGCAAAACCCACGCCATAAGGCCAGGGCTCTTCCTGCTTCACATCAGCGCTATTACAGGGCGAGAGGCCAGGTGGCAGTGGAGGAAATTGACCAATATGGCGTCAGTCCACCTCCATCTTGGCCTTCACTTCCACCTAATAGGGAGTCAAAAAACTTCTGGTTGGCCCCTCCCAGGGCCAAAAAAACAGGGGAAACGGAAGGGAGGTCGAAGGGCCTGATGTCATCATAGCTGGCCATGGCCAGTCACCATTTTTACCAGTGCAACCTGCCCAGAGAATCCTTCTGCGACCAGCCATGGTAACTGACTTAACACCTGAAATGGGTCTGCAGCAAATTCCTACCAGAGTTTTTGGGCTGCTTCCTACAGGAAATATAGGGTTGATTTGGGGATGTAGCAATTTAAAACAGG